ACTTCTATTCCCTAATGGTGTTTAAAAACGTTTAACTGTGTCTAACACAATGTTCAAATGGCAAATTTCGCAAATTTAACGGAATAACTACTATGAAAAGCCAAAAGTCCTAAAGCAGTAGCTCCCCTTTAAATCAGAGCAGCAGCTCAGCAGCAGCGAGGGCGGGGGGGTTCCTTTCACACAGACGCGCACACACAGGCAGAAAGACACAGAAGAAGAACTTTCAAGATTAATTTTTTAAGCAAATATAACTTATGTTGTTCTTTATACTTTTGTCATCCAAATCTAGAATTGATCACTTTCCACACTAGTAACAAAAGGCACTCTTTAGTGTTTAACGTTTCCCTTTTTATAATTACTTTTAATTTTACACCATGGTTTCTCTCAAAGGGACTTTAACCCTGAAGCTTCTTCTCAAAGGGACTTTAACCCCGAGACTTTCTCAAAGGGACTTTAACCCCGAGGCTCAAAGGGACTTTAACCCCGAGACTTTCTCAAAGGGACTTTAACCCCGAGGCTCAAAGGGACTTTAACCCCGAGACTTTCTCAAAGGGACTTTAACCCCGAGGCTCAAAGGGACTTTAACCCCGAGACTTCTTCAAAATACAATTTAGAGAGTTTGACAGACCCCAAAAACAGACCAAAATTTAGCTAATATCCAATTATGCAGACTTTACATATTAAAAAAGGTGTCTGCTTACCTTATTCTTGTCAAACCGGTTCCAAGGACTGTCCAAGAGGTCTGCCAACTCTTTTCCGCGTCGGAATATTCAATTTAAAAAACAAAAGTGACAGAAGCGACAAGAAGCATCCAGGAACAGCTCTTCCAGCCTGCTGGAATCTCCGCTCCCAGACACAGCATGCCGATCTCTCACGCCGAGGAAAAGAAACAGAGCAAACTCCCTCAAAACAATCCAGAGAATGGCACAAACCGAGCCGCGCATTCTCCACCAAATCTGTTAGGATTTAGGCAGACAGAGACGGATCGTGGTGTGCCAAACTCTGGAAGTTTATTTAAGTTTCTCTCAAGTTCCACTGTTTTACTCTGTTTCTTTCCCTCAGACAGAATAAAGGCAGTACACAGTTTATATAGTCATTGTCACGTCACACATCGAAAGACATACGTGTCACAAAGAGACAGTCACATCATAGTCATAACATGGAGTCCTTGTAGAGTCCTTGTACAGTCCTGCACGTAGGCCATATTGCTATCTAATACTAACAGTACCTATACTGATACTATAGGTACATTTAAACACAGAAAGAGCAGAATTGTAAAGCATAACAATCCATATGGGAAAAGCTGTCGTACATGCAGTATATGACCCCAGTTTCAAATTCATGTCTTGAGGGACCAATTCTTTATATTTTTAACCTCAATCTTGGTCAGCAGTTCTGTGAGGATTAATGGAATAGATTCTGGGGCAGAGACTGGAGAATAAAAACATTGATCAAACATCCAAAGCTTTAACTTGGGTATTGGGTTCAGTTCAGTTCAGTAATCTCATTGGCAAAATGTAGAAGAACCAGTTGTATATTAGGAGTGGACTGACCAAAAGCTGACTATTGTGTGTGCTGAATGCGGAAGAAGCCATTATAAGATAGACTAGCTGGAGCCAATTTCCTTATATGGGCATTTTTTGTGGGCTGGTGCTCTGTGAATTAGATGCAGTTTTGACTGCCACCCCCAACCCAGAAATGGGGAAGGGGAAGAAAATGGGTGGATGGGCCTTTTTTTAGCTTTGCGCCGTAACAAGGGCAGATGAGTTGCTACGGTGGTTGTTGAAGCAAGCTAGAGTTCCCTCCGCAAACCAACGCACCTGATTGGTCAATGTTAATGACTCATGTCTGGATATACAAGACAGTATATAGCCAGCAGGATCAGAGAGAGGGCTAAACCACAGATTTTTTAAACTCAAAATGAAGACTGTAGGAGATTAGAGGAGTTCATACTTCAATGAAATGTAAATGGAGCCAGAGCGACTTCGCCCATGAGTACTTCTTTGACCATATTCTGTCTACATACAGTATATGAGAAGAGCCTTCATACACTTTTAAGATAAGATAAGATAAGATAAACCTTTATTAGTCTCACAGTGGAGAAATTTCAGTGTCATCGTTGCGCACATTACAGCAGAGAAAGGAAATAAGAGTACTCAGATTGCACACATCAAAGTCTATTATTTAAGATAATAGACAATAAATTTAAGATGAAATAAAATAAAATAAAATAAGATAAACTCTGGGCTATAATGGCACTTGGTTCGGAGTATTTACAGATGTCTATATTATACATTAGCAGCGGAGAATATGAGAATATGAATAAGAGCAGAATAAATATCAGAAATCTCCTTTATCTAAAGGAATTTGCGGGTTCTGTGTTTCTTGTACATAAATTAACAGTATGTTTTTAAAAAATTAAATACTGCACTTCCAGCAGCCAGAGTACTTACCAACAATGTGATCTGTGTGTAACTATAGCCAGTACATCAGAGCCAGTTGGTCAGAGAAAATGTTGGCCGAGCGTGGCGTTGCTACTTTGCTAAATGAGTCAGCATTTCAAATTTCCCGAGTCCAGACTTTTTTGAGACAAGATGGAAAATGTGCCGCGCATTAGCAAAATCTATTTTCCGTTATAATAGAAACGCTCTCCACTATTCTCCTGGTTTGGTATTATTAAAAACACTGGGGATTATTGGCACGATGGTGAGCCGAGTACCACTTCTGTACAAATTGAAGTGTCATTAGCCAATAGCTCAGTGTTCAGTTGGTTTGTTTGTGTTTGTTGCTTGGTAGGTCGTGTCCACAGGCTTAGTGAGACTCCTCCATTAGAAACATGTGTGAGCTGCAGCTGGAGACACCGTGATGAGAGCGCAATTGGAATCGAGAAAACCACAGCCATGCAATCAATTTAAATGAGAAACATCTAAATAGTTGGCAGATAAAGTTGGGGTTGTCATTACAATAAAACAAAAAAAATACTAAATTAAAACAATACAAAAAAGGGTTAAATAAATTGATTATGCCTGGTACACAGCTGTTCTAGCATCAAAGTATAAAAGTGAATTAATTCTACTTCTAGAACTATGAAACTTAAAGGATTTTCCCAAATTTTAGGAAAGAACCGTCCTCTCCATTTTTTGAACAAAACTCTCTGGTCTTATTTGACGAGCACGTATCACCAGAATGATTGACCAATAGTCTTGGTGATCCACTACTGACTGCAACCATTGTCTTGCGATTGTAAAGAACGTAATTTCATCTGAGAAATTGCCAAAAATAATTGATGGGCAATACTTTTGTTTTTAAAAAGTCAAACATACTACTACAGGACTGAGACAGGGGATTTTCGACAGGAGTTACATGTTTGTTCCAGAAGTCCACGATATCAGCGGGAATGGATCTAAAAACAACTCCAGGTCTGTATTGACGAGGGAACAATATTGCTAAATGGTTAACAGCTCAAAAGGAACATTTTTAGAACACGTCTCCTAGAAATTAGAAATTGGCCCATGCATTTTTGTATATCTTCACTGCAGCAAAGCACAAACAATGGTAATAACACTTTATTCATAATAAATGGTACATGTTTTATTGAGAATTATAGTATTCTTATATTGAACAGCTTAAAGATATTACATACAAAACGCGACAAAACCAAACAATAAAGAATGCAGTGTTAAGCATATAAAATTAATGTCCTTTGTGATATAGTACAGTACATTGAAATGCAAAGAGTAAAAGGCCAATGCTACTGCTTCAACAATAAGAAACACAAATCTCCTCATGCCATTGGCTACAAGACATGACTGGCACTGTTTCTATCTCTACTGTGGTTCCACATGTAGCTCTAGAGTTGTTTAGTGTGATGTCATAGGTCCAAATCCATAGTCACAAATTCAACAGATTTTGGTTTTGTCGAAAGGAACCGTGTAGTTTGGACTCTTACTGGTTTAATAATGTCATTTACAATCCAACGTGTAGCCGGAATCTTCCTGCCTGAGTCGCTTCGAGGCACTGATTAGACAAGAGAAGGCAATTTTATTTGTATGGCTCAGTTCATACACATGGTTTGCACCTGATTACAGATGCAAACCACCTGCTGGAGTTAAGTCAGAAATGGTGAATTACGTTTGGCTTATTTTATTTGAACATGTGTGGTGATATTTTTGTTATTGATGAAAGAAAAGAAAACATTAAGCCGAAACCAGCTCAATTTCACAAAAGAAACTGGCAACTCAAATAAGACTTATTCTGAGTTCTGATTGGATAATCTGTTTGAAACCAGTGTGAATTTAATCTAGAAGAAATCCGCTTTAAATTTGACTAAATAAAAGGCCAAATATGAATATATTAAACATGGTCCCTTTAAAACACATACAATCTCTCATCAATAAATACAGTAATAAAACAAAGTCAGTAGTACTAAAAATAATCAGCAGGTCTGTGTCTGAATCCATAAATTGCCTGAATGCATTTACAGGGAAATATGTCTAAAAAGCACAAAAATATAGACCCTTCCAGTCTCCAGAGTTTGAACAGAACAACTGAATCTAAAGGCTGGTTATGCTCCAAGCAGTAGTTCTAATCCATTTCCAATTCATCAGTGTTAGCCACCGACAACTATTATATAACTAGGTCTATTTCAGAAACCATCAACCAGTTTTGCCAGATTTTTTTTGTTTTTACGCTTACCGAACTGTGCCAAAATGCGCCCAAACTCTACGGGAAAAACCATAGAAACTTCTTACTGTGAAGCAACACACGCCTTATTACTAAACCCATCATTTCTGAAATATAGTCCGTTTTTGTTCAGAATAGGGGTGAAAATGTTATCAATCTGGACCCGGAAGTAGCGTTCTGACATCAACGCTGCACAACTCCACAGGCTGATCTACAGAACTGAGACGGCATTAACATCAAACCACGTCTTTCAAATACAAAACAAGTAAAGAGAACAGCAACAGTAGCCATGTTGACCAACAACATCTCCCCATGTGTTACAATTCAATGAGACTGTCTGTGCCGGGGAAGTCCGGGAGATTGAGGTCATATTTTTTCTGGATATCGTAAGGCAGGAAGCGTCCAGCGAGGAAATGCTTCCCAGAGAAACTAGCAGCGCACTTTTTAGGTGCCGTAAGTGAGATGAGGACTTCAGGGGTGATGCCGTCCTGGGTGGCCTCCTCCTCGTCCCAACCTGGAGAAAACAAAGAGCATTTCTGTAGCAACAGTAGTTAGCAGCACAAAAAACAGAGAGGACGTACTAACTATGGGGAAAAGTAAGAATTCATCCAAGAAAGGCTCGAAACATTAGAACAGTCAAGTCCAAACTGAGAGCCGTGGGCCAATCGCAATCCTCTGTGGGATTATATGTGGCCCTCTGCTTTGTTAACCTTTAAGCAGCCATTGAGATCATGAATGCAGTTGTATCCAGCCAACTTCAGCTCCAGCGATAGTCATGCTATAGATGGAGCTGGTTTGTAGAGCCTAGTTGTAAGGGAAGATTTGTTTGTGTCTTCAGATTTAGAATTTTAAATGAGCTTGAGTTTTTCCATTTGAAATTTGAAATTTTCATTAAGTTTAAATATTTTTGTCTTTGCATTTCAGGCACTAAAAAATCTGTTTACATTTTTTGATTTAATGATCTGTCTGTTTTTTTTTTTTTTTTTTTTTTTTTGTGACTGAATGATTTTTCATGGTTAAAAATGTCAATGGATAAAATTCAACCTAATTTCAAATTCAAAATCTGATGACACCAAAAATCTTCCATATTGTCGTAAAACTGAGACCGGGTCCAGCCACTGACGTTTTCTTTCTTTTTCATGATAACAATTGTGTTTGGTATATGCTGCAAATGTAGCTGGTGAGAAAGTTAACATTTGTGATCCAGCCAACTTCAGCTTCGTCAAACATGAATCAATATGAACTGCCTGAAAACAGCTCAAACTGTTTTAGCACAGCATACATCCGTTTAGAGAAATGTGCAATGTTTTTGTTGTACTCCATGTAGCTATACACACACATCTTACCATACTCAAGCTTGCAAAATGAGGACCGGTGTGACCTTTCAGATTGGAGGTTTGTCTGTTACACATGTGAAAAGGCGAGGGCCATGGGATGATTAAAAAATAAAAATAAAATAAACAGAAAAATAACAGAACCCAAAATAAATATAATAGACCTAAGACGCACAGATCCATTGTTGAGTCTGAGCCACGGTTACGTTTTCACATTTACATTTATTCCACTTCCAATCCAATCCAATTTATTTATAGCACATTTAAACAACAATCAAGTTCCAAAGTCCCAATACTTAGACTATTGGTCTATGATTTTAGCAAAACCAAACACAGGACACAGTCAATTACACTCTCTGCATACATGTTTTTGTCCATAGGGAAGTAAGCTACATACATAGGTGCCCTGCATATACTAAAGGTTGTAGTATTTCTCAAATGTCAGACTTCATGTAAAAGGTGCAGAAAGTGCCAAATCCAGCTTCGGCGGAATGGAGTGAAGAGAAGGCGGCGTTTGAATCAAGGGCTTTTGATAAATCCACACAACGCTGGCTCAAGCAGAAGATTTATCAGCACATGTCCAAACTCTTTTCGCCGTTTGGCCGGCACTCTCACGGAGCCACCCAAAGGCCCATATATCACGCCTGACTCACCTGAAGGCACATCCACACTGGCTATAGGAATCTTCACTTGCTTCAGAGTACCAAGAATGCCCAAGTACGGCTCCTTGATGTTGCTTATGTCCGACCCTGGGCCCAGCATTGCATCAATCACTAGGTTATAGGCGTCGTTTATGAGCTGCACCTGAACACAACAAATGATGTATTGTTCAAATATCATCAGTGTGTGTAATATTGTTGTATTGTAAAGTAGGTTACGGTATACTTTATTGTCCCCACAGGAGCCACGTACGATATTTCATGTTTAAGAATGTAGAAAGTAGAAAATATTAACGGCTTATTAAACGAGCGCGAGGTCTGTACAGAGAAATATCAGACCGCGGCCTTTTTGTACAGAACGAGCCGTGGCGAGGTCTGTGCAAAAAGACCAAGGTTTTTAGTGGTGGGAGAAACCGGAGCACCTGGGAGAACATGCAAACTTCACACAGAAAGGCCTGGAGATGGAATAGAACTCAGAACCTTCTCGCTGTGAAGCACTACGCCACTGTGCTGCCTGATTTAGGGGCATTATAGAAGACAGAAAACTGCTCTGAGCGTGATGTCATAGCGGTACAATGACATCATCTTAAGACAGAAGTTACATGTTTGTGCCAGATGTTCCCGATGTTAGCGTGGATGGATCTAAAAAAAACTCTTAAGTCTGTTTTTGATGAGAGAACAATGTTGTAACTTAGGTAAAAGGCCCAAATAAGTACATTTCACATAAGAAAATTATTTAAACTTGATAGTAGCTCAGACATGTGTTAGCAGCTCAGACAGGCATTTATTTTTCCAATGCTCAGAGCGAGATGATAGCGTGTGTGTGCCGCTAAAAGAAGTCTGTTTAAAGCCGGGCCATTATTCATAGGACAAACGAGCCTTGCCCTCTGTTAAAAGGAATTGAACCCTGTCCGCTTACAGTTGAACCAATGACGCACCTCTGTGGGCAGGTATGACAGGAAGGGGATGTCCATCTTCTCACACTGCACTGTGAAGTCCTGGTGGAGGTTCTGAGATGATCGTTTGGGATGGTAGATGGTGGGCTCGTATTCCTGATGGAGAAAAGACAGAAAATACAGGTTACATAATGAGCTTGAGCGAATGCCAGACCCGACAGACAGATATTGAAATGATGGAGTGCACTTTTGGCTCCAGTGCGTGACATGTTACACGCCGCCGGTCGCCGATTGTGGTTTCTCAACAGACGGCTTTCTGAATGAATACTTCCCCTTATAAGAATGAGAGCGGAGATGAGTGGAAATCCAGACCGGCGCTGTCTGAGTGGGGATGCTCAGCAGGAAGCACCTGTGATCCATAACCCTTGTTCTTTACAGCGCTACAAACCTCATGTGCATTCGACCGTGCATCCTGATGAATCTGCAGCAATGTCCAGGCTACGGAGGGTCAGAGGTAAGTGTCAGGGGTCAGCTACAAATACTGGGATAAACAAATGGCTGTAATATTGTTCAAAAGCTAATATTCTCCTCTTTTGTCAATTTCAACATCACATTGTTTATTTGACGTAGAGCGACCAGCCGCAAATCCACCAGCAGCAGGAGGCTTTTCTGTGCTGGGCAGACTTCACACAGTCATTAACAGATATGTATGCATTGGACTTTATGATTGCCAATGGTTTAGTTTCTATTCTCTAATATTTTTCTTCCTGCTGCTTGAATTATTTTGAAATCACTTTTTGCAGAATATCAACATACATTATAAATATATGTGTAAACTAATCCAACTAATGCGGTTTTGCATTTTTCTTGTACTGTTAGTTTCACAATAACAATCTAGCAACAAGCAGGATTCCCACAGTTTCAGTGAAGCAGGACTTCAGCGATGATTGGCCATTGTCGGGACCAGATGCTTGTTGTCTGATTTTCACTTCAGACACACTTAATGTAGAAAATTATGAAATGCATAAAACAATGTTAAATTGCGTAATTCCCTTGAAATCTTATATGAACATGATCAATCTTTTTAAGACAGTCCATTTGTGCTTTTAACATATAGTCCCCCAGACTAAAACAATGACAGAGGGGCAGATTTATGACTTGAGGTAGGGGCTTGAAATGAAAAAATAAACTTTTAACTTAGACAAGAACCACTTGAAGTTATAATCAATAAAATTGATACAATAAAAATCTGAGAGACCGTGTAAAGATAATTTTGTTGTATGCGGCTTTTAAGTTTGACTTCTTCCAATGTTTGTATCATGTATGTTCATATACATATGTATGTATGTATCATGTATGTTCATATACATATGTATGTTTGTATCATGTATGTTCATATACATATGTATGTTTGTATCATGTATGTTCATATTCATATGTATGTTTGTATCATGTATGTTCATATACATATGTATGTTTGTATCATGTATGTTCATATACATATGTATGTTTGTATCATGTATGTTCATATTCATATGTATGTTTGTATCATGTATGTTCATATTCATATGTATGTTTGTATCATGTATGTTCATATACATATGTATGTATCATGTATGTTCATATTCATATGTATGTTTGTATCATGTATGTTCATATACATATGTATGTTTGTATCATGTATGTTCATATACATATGTATGTATGTATCATGTATGTTCATATACATATGTATGTTTGTATCATGTATGTTCATATACATATGTATGTTTGTATCATGTATGTTCATATACATATGTATGTATGTACAGTATCATGTATGTTCATATACATATGTATGTATGTACAGTATCATGTATGTTCATATACATATGTATGTTTGTATCATGTATGTTCATATACATATGTATGTATGTACAGTATCATGTATGTTCATATACATATGTATGTTTGTATCATGTATGTTATGTAATGATTCCTGTGTATAAATACAATAAAAATGTCAATAAAACATTACATTGTGTATCTGGAGCAGTTATATATTCTTAAAGCTGGTCGAGTACCAAACGTTGTTTGTTTCATAAATACATATTTGTTATCCCCAACATAAAGCGTCTTGTTTAAGTTGAGATAAAACAGACCACAGCATGCTTTAACTTTATCTATCTTTTACAAACTCAGGGCTGAGTGAAGGCTGGTACTCTCTTTTTCACTGAAAAAGCTGATCAAAAGATGTGATGTGAGGCCAAAAATACATGCATGTAAAAACTAGTGACTGTTTTAGTGCCAGGAATTAGTTACACGGATGCTAATCGACGTGGAGCAAATGTGGACTTTACATCTTTCGTCAGCTCTAGTCTTGACCCGGTACAGCCTCCCACATGGTCCTGGGACAGGTCTCTGACATCCCCGACTCTCCCCACTGGCTCCACTCCTCTGCACCTCCCTCTAGACCTGCCCTGGGCTCATCTGCTTCAAGCCCAGTGTGACTACAGAGCAGGACTCTAGTGAAGCTGTCAGTGTCAGTGAACGTAAACGAACAGGGAGCAAAAGTCCCGGCACCTCCCCTCCCTGTTGGGCCTGTGTGTCTTTTATATTGTGTTTATCATCACAGTCTATTAACGCTGATGGGATAAGTTCCTGCGTCTGCTTCTCCGATCATGATCCATTCTGTTTCCTGTCAATCATTTGCATCCATTCACGTCTTGTCCGACCGGTCCGTGCACCGAGGATAAGATCATGCTGTTTTAATACAGACAACGCTGTGGATCTAATTGGAGGAAGATTTTTGACATCGATTCAACCTCTGCTCTGATCAAAGGATGTCTTCACTGTGGGAATAATCAAAGTCTGATGATTTCCCTGTGTTACAGACATTCCAACAACATGCTTTGAGTTGTTGATCCCAGACGTTACCTCTTTGTGATGTGAAGTCAATGCACTCAAATTATACAAAGAACACCCAAAATATGAACAATGGAAGGAAATTATGACATGAGCGGTGGGTAGAGAAGTGCTCCTAATACAGAAGAATATAAATGAATATAAAGTAGTGGTCAAAAAAAAAGGAAGATCAACTGCTTCTGTCTGTCATGTGATCAATTAGGTAATGCAAGTAAAAAATACAGAACTTGTTAGATCTGTCAAAGTTCTCCAAAAACTCAACATTGACAGATTGAGGACTGCAATCTGCCTCATGGGACCAATCAACAGCATCAAGGGAAATTCTAGTTTCTATATAAAAAATACAAACAAAGGACAGCTTTTGACAGAAAATATTTGTCTCTGAAGGAAAAAGAAAAGTAAAACCTGTCATACTACAAAATGTGTGTGTATTATTAATGAATGTTTAAACATAATACACAGACGAAAAATAGTTAGTAGCCAAGTCTGGTCCGTACAATACATTCTTTGTGCAATATCCCTGTAAACGAAATAGCTCCATAAAATATCAATTTGCTCTTCATACCTGTACCTGATTGCTTACATATGAATGTAAGCAATCATCAATCTGCTGGGTTTTTTTTTATTTATTTTTTTACTAAACAGCATCATCAAGATGGAGTAAAAATCACCCACTCCATAGAGACAAGCAGATGATTGATAGAAGAAATAACACATTTTATTTGGATTTAATGATGTACTTTCATTGAACATTTTATCCTAATTTATGTTAGCTGAAAGATGTTACCACATTGTGATGGCCTGGGAAATTAGATTTTGTGTGACGAAGTGAAACAAAGGAAAGACCCAAAATGCATGACTGAAAACAGGATCGACCAGGGTAAAAATAAACACAAAAATTCTCACAAATAACTGAAGCGAGGAACAAGACATGGGAAAGACAATGGATCAACAAGTGGTATGAACACACAAAGGGACAAACACATTTGGGAAGACCAGAAATAGAAGAACTTTAAAAAGCAGAAAACAAATGAAAACATGAAACTGAAACATGAATCCAGAGGTAGGGGGTAACAGTTGGAGATGTGTTAATGCTGAACATCCACCACTTGTCTGTGGCAGAGAATTGTTTTTGGTGGGCTCTTAATTCCTCATTTTTTGTTAGTGATAAAATTGACCTCTTTCTGCGGACTAGAGCTCATGGTAGAGCTGCTGCACGATCCTGAACACTGACTTTGCGTTTATTCACATCAAGACAAGATGTAAGAGTTTGAGAGACTCTTTGAACATTAATGAGTTCCTGCTTGATCTGAACTTTGTCCATATCTAGATCCTGGAGCTCTGTTCAAGCAGCCTACAGTACAGCTTACAGACTTTTTCCCAGATTGGTTTCTTCTGTTTCTTGAGCTCCAAATCCAAAGACACTGAGATGGGCACGATATTGAAGCTCCTGTCCTTTCCTGGACAACTTCTGGTTCATCCTTGTTTACTACAGGTCACATGTGAAGCAGCTGCAGCAACAGAACAAGTGTCCATCGTTGGTCTTTCTAATTGCCCTCTCTTCTGCCCTGCTGTTCCCCACTTCACACTGAGTAAAGAATCAGAATCAGAATCAGAATCATTTTTATTGCCACGTAAGTAACAGGAGGTCACAGACTAGGAAATTGCTTTGGCTCAGTGCAACAGTCAAAAAGAAATAATAAAAATAAGAATAAAAAACACTTCTAAAGAATAAAGGCTTTTGGCACTACGTTTTTTTGCTTTTCCATCTCAGCAATGAGTTTCAAAAAAGTTCTTACTGGTTGAGATGTAATTACCTTGTACAGAGCTTTGAGCCATCTTCAGAACGGTACACTGTTATATCCTGAGTAGGCCTGGTCCTTCAGACTGACCTCTCGCCCGGTGGTCTCTGGAGGAGGGTGTTCCATGTGTGAGACAGGAGGGAGGCTCCATCATCACGGTCAATGGTGTTGTTGCCCTGCTTTTTGACTTTAATGGCCTCGATCTTGTTGTTTTAAAGTCCTGACCTTTGACCTGTCCCGATCCATAATGTGGTTGTTTCTCTGGCAAAGTCAAATAGAACATTCTTAAGCAGCGTTCGCACCGCTGATGCATGAACGTGCGTTGATTGAGGCATGGACGAGCGGTCACTAGGTTTCAGCTGCATGAGTTTAGTCAATCTGTAGTACTGCCTGGTGGACATGTTAGCATGACTTGTTTACAGTCACAGCAGAATGTCAACTCAGGGTGAAGACTTATGTTTACAAGCACCGTGTCCCCCATTGTCAGCCCTGGTTTAGTCCCGGTGTAGCTCCTGTTTTGGTTGTTTTCGAGTGTCTTCGTCTTCTTGTTTTTGACCTTGCTTTCTGATTGGTTTCCGTACGTGTGTGGAGCAAGGATGTTCAGTGAATCTCCTCTCCTGCTTTCGCCGCATGCATCTAGGCGCTGTCCCAAACCGCCTTTGCCGCGCCGCAACAAAGTGTCTGCCACGCGGGACAAAAGTAAGCACTGAGTTTGCATTGAAACAGCTTTAGATCAGCAAAGAGCTCATTATCTTTCCCAGGACTCTTTTGGTGCCAACGAGTTTCTGAGCAGCATTGATCTTGTTCATAGTATTTTTCTACCAACTATTTTTTTTAGCCTGGTCCTTGCCCGTTTCAGCTGCTTCCGGAACACACTTTCCACTGGAGACGCAGTGACTTCAGTTAGAAACCAGGGATTTCTAACTGTAACATTTATGGACATTTATCAACACTTATGAACATTGGTCATCATCTTTTGGACCAATGTCAATGTGTTTTCTGTTTTATTTCTTATGTTTGAACTGTTTGATTCTCTGATCTATGGTTGGCAAATTCAACGGTTGTGTAAAGTCCTCCAGATTTCAACAACAGACAACTTATTCAAGAAAGAACCAATGTAGATTTCGCAGTCTCTCTAACACTGGCATTTACAGTGTAGGGCGACACGGTGGCGGAACAGTGCCTTTCTGAGTGGACTTTGCATGTTCTCCCCGTGTCTGCGTAGGTTTCCTCCGGGTGCTCCGGTTTCCCCTACCACTAAAAACATGTACAATAGATATGAATGTAATGAGTGAGTGAATGGATGGTGTTGATTAGGGGCTTTGTTGCACCAGTGTGTTCGGCGTCTTGTTTCCGCCATCACCGCATAGAGAGAATGAAACAATATCTGAACTCTTAACATTGTGAAGTGCGTTGGGTGACCTTGGCCTGTAAAAATGCGCTATATAAATAAACATTACTTACTCACTTTATATTGCGGGCCAAATGAAGGGTAAAACAATGTCTCTCATTGCCATAAAGTTAATGAGATGCTGTTGTAACCGAAGCAATCTTCTTAAAACCAACCAACAGCAACAAGACATTGTAAAAGCTGAATTTGAAAAGGGAATAGCATCTGCCTTAATGATGATGACTCTAACATAAGCTGTAAACTATTTCAAACCACTAATGAAACCCAAGACATGAGTAACAGTAGCAATGTGGGTAGACCTCCTGGTAAGTACATAAATGTTGTACCACCTTAAATGCACTTATTCCACATTAAACACTGATATATTCTTCCCAATGATAGGTTTGCGTTACTGTAAATGTCAACCAAAGTATTATGTAAGTTGGAAGTTGGTTTGAAATGTACTGAGGCCCATTTGTTCATGTGGTGTGGAGACTGTATAAACATGACTGAATTTGAGAAGTGAAATATTGCCTTCTGAGCTCATCCTTGACCTCACCATGAGCCGACCAACCGGGCCAGACCTCCTGCCCCATGGTTTTAATATAAACTATGGCTGCGTTTGTAAATCTCCTGTGTCAGCCGCATATGGCAAAGCGTAGCGATGCATTCCCGTCTAAAGCAAAGATCCAAAATTTCCTCTTCACAATAATGTCATAGTCTGGAGCAGAAAGCACTACCGCAAATGGCTAAACAAATATATTTACGGTATCTCTAATGTATCAAGACAGAGCTGTCGCGCCTTCAAAAGCAATTTGTAAGTCAGCATGTGGCCTGAACGGAGCGTGCACCACGACAATGGCCTAATGCTGAGGGAAAAAAGCATGTGGTTTTCGCAGCAAAAATTATGATATCATGCCTGAGCCCATACGGAGAGGGAAAAAGGATATTAGCCTCTCTGGTGTCAACAGGAGCTACTATGAAACCTGATCATGAAGAAGGACAGCACAAAGCAAAAAAACTTAGACTTTTTAGGATTGTTTTTCTCTTTTGGTGTCATTTGATAGCTGTGATTTATGACTGTTTTCAACTTTGATTCAAGCTATCACATTTATGTCATGTGTTTTTGTCATCCATAGCGTAGAGCATTAGGCAAGAAAGTACAATGAAGTGGAAGAATACGGTGAGCTTAGATGGCTTGAAGTAATAGCTCTGTTTTCAGTTTGATTAGTATATTGATTTTAACAGCAAAGATGATTACTTGGCTCAACCCAGTTCCTCTGACTCTTTAGTTTGATAGTGAACTCGACTGGTCATTTATAGGTATATCTGGCCAAAACTGAAGCTATAATCCACAATATGAGCTGTGAAATCACTTAGAATAGTTGATGTTGTGCCACTGTTCCTCGAGCCAACCCGCACTTCCATACAGTCTTTTTTTGTAACATCCCAAGTTGAGGCCAATAGCTTTTCAAGTGGTTTACTCACAAATATGCGCAGGTGTCTGGCACAAACCAGGCCGATGGAGCCATTTTGATCTGGGCCACAAATCACCAGCACTGTTGGCTGCTTCTTCGAAATGGAGCTCAAAGGATAAGCCTGAGGGAGAGAGAAGAAATGAATTTAGAGTAGACTTAGATAAGGTGTTAAGTTATGGAAAGACAATAAAATATCATGAAAAAGATTTCAAGTAGTATTATCATGAATGAAACAATGACACAGATTTGCTTTAAAACAGATGAAAACATGTTGTGTTGGTGCTCTTTACTTTGCACAATATGTACTTAATGTATCTCTTTCTTGTGGAGGCTTTGGGGCAAAGAGCACAAGGGTATAAAGCAGAATCTTCTACTTTCAGCTTTTTGTAGCGACACTGGCTTGAAAAGTCGTCTGACTTTCTTATTTTTCTTCCGGAGAATCACTTGAAGGCTTTTCCGAGCTGTCTGTGTTCAGACTGCCACATGCCAAACATGCCAGACAGGGGTGGAAATGGCATCATTAGTGTCTATACGAAACGCTCCAGAGTCATTAAAAAAGGTCTCGCAGTGGTGGAAAAAAGACTGTTGTCCTCACGGCAGGATACATTTGTTTAAATATAGACTGCTGCTGGAAGTATTTTACCATCTTCAACGGATCTGAGAGCCTGAGCCTGAAAGCTATAGGGTGAGTTAAGGGTATCTATGGGAACAGATTCATAGCAGTGTGCAGCAGAGAAGCGCATAAGTCCTTTACTCAAAGTCCAAGAAAGAAAGTCAAGTTCAAGTCTCTGGATCTGCAAGTCCAAGTCAAGTCAAAGTCACATATAATATATAAGTATATATCTACTTAAATCAGACAAATACCAGATACACTGCTGTCTGTTCATCTCAGACATGCTGTTTAGACAAATAAAAAGTACTGTATATTATAATAATAATAATTACTATTATTATAATATACAGTGCTTTTTATTTTATTGTGAGCACTATATCAAATCAATACATTATAATGTATTGATTTGATATAGTGCTCAGAGACGCTTCACATGGCATTGCGCTTTCCCATATATTTGGTGATAAGCTACTACAGTAGCCTCGGGGCAAACTGACAGAAGTGAGGTGCTGTTAAGGCAGGGGCACAGCCTTGTACGACCAGGAGTGTTCAATCCAACACACACTGGTCAGCCCTAAAGCTGCCAGAGCCTGCAGACATTTGGTACTTCTCCAGAATGCACCTCTGGCCAGTTTGCCCTGTTGACAACAATGCTGGCTACAGTGTATCTCTCAAGTTGCTCGGACGCACTTGAGAGAGAGAGAGAGAGAGAGAGAGAGAGGTCGGGCTGCGCAACAGATTTTATTTGGAAAATCACTCCATAGACATTCTGAGTCCTAAAATAACGACTTAAGTCAGACTCGAGTCCAAGTCCCCATCTCTGGTGTGCAGTATACATCGGAAATGTAAATGTAAAAATAAAAAAGCCATAAAATGAATAGAACGCCAAAACAAAGTACAGTGCCTTGCGAAAGTATTCAGTATTCAGTATTTCAGGCTTCAAACATAAAGATATACAATTTTAATTTTTTGTCATGAATCAACAACAAGTGGGACACAATCGTGAAGTGGAAAGAAATGTATTGGATAATTTAAACTTTTTTAACAAATAAAAACCTGAAAAGTGGGGCGTGCAATATTATTCGGCCCCTTTACTTTCAGTGCAGCAAACTCAGTCCAGAAGTTCAGTGAGGATCTTTGAATGATCCAATGTTGTCCTAAATGACTGATGATGATAAATAGAATGCACCTGTGTGTAATCAAGTCTCCGTATAAATGCACCTGCTCTTTGATAGTCTCAGGGTTCTGTTTACAGCGCAGAGAGAACAATGAAGACAAAGGAACACACCAGGCAGGTCCGAGATACTGTTGTGGAGAAGTTAAAAGCCGGATTTGGATACAAAAACATTTCCCAAGCTTTAAACATCTCAAGGAGCACTGTGCAAGCAATTATATTGAAATGGAAGGAGTATCAGACCACTGCAAATCTACCAAGACCCGGCCGTCCCTCCAAACTTTCATCTCAAACAAGGAGAAGACTGATCAGAGATGCAGCCAAGAGGCCCATGATCACTCTGGCTGAACTGCAGATAACTGCAGCTGAGGTGGGAGAGTCTAGAGTACCCATCTGAATTTCCATCTTGTTCTTTCACGTGGACTTTTATCAATCAGGATGAAATGAATACAAGCACTTAGGGTTTGGTATTCATCATTATTATCAATATCCATAAACATTAATGTAGGGTGAGGAAAAGGTGAGCGCCGATCGGGTGTGAATAACAGACCCTTTCCGTAAACATGCCCTCCCTAGCTCCTGAGACTTCAAAGCAACTGCGGGTTCAATTGAAGGTTAACATTCACCAGGAACACTACAACGAGACCCAGAGGGGCAATAAAACAACAGAACAGGACATCTGTGTGCCCCCTGCCAGACGGAGATCAGGAATCAGTCATCAGCAATCGCTCATGAGACATTCCACAACCTGAGACTCTCCCACGGCGCTCTGGCGCTCCCTAGCGGACACTGGACACCACTGCACCCAAGGCGGACACTCGAAAAGGACATTACTCTGTAATATTATGTCGATAACGTTACGGACCTTACTCGTGTGTGTTGATGTCTGTGATGTAAATGCACTGCGTGTTTGTACATGTCTTATGATCATTTGCATCAATCCTGTGTGTTTCCTTTACAAACTGTCTGTTGTGAAGGGGTTTGTCCACAGAGGGCAGGGGCGGCATGGACACGCCTCCCCTGGGAAGTCAATATAAACACGAACAATGCCATAGAACTTCCTCTTGTCTCCTCCTGAAATCACTATCCCAACCTCCCCGGCCCATCTGCGTCCCGCGGCACGTGTCTCCTACTACGGTCGCGCCTGCACGCATCGGGCCTCCTACTCCGCCAAACATACTCTCCTCTGGCTCGGGAGTCGGGACCTTATGAACTATTCCACCACCAGCCTCTTTCCTTGGCTCTGGACCATACGCGCGCAACCCATTCCGGACTGAGTTGCATTACGCGTGTATCAGCAGCTGGACCAACTCGCTGACTTCGTACCTCCCGCCTGCCCAGACAAAGAAACCACGTGGGTTGATTCCCCAACCCAAATCCTTTCTCCATCCTCTACGCTCCTACAAAGTAAGACTGTTCTTGTTAAATGTGTGATTTGAATGAAATGTATGCCACTTCTGCTTTAATGTGACCAGAAATCCCCTTTCGTTATATTTTTACCTTCATTTTGTAATCAATAAACCTCTTTTCTTTAACTCAACCCCATCAGAGTCGTGTTGTTAGATCTCGGTATATCCCTGGCCGATTTACGCATTCACTACCTGTTAGATTCATAAGACTGATCGAGGCAAAGATTTGGTTTGGTCTGTGCAGTGTGTCATACACCCTGCTGGTGCCAAAATAAATATAAAGCAGACCCACACTACCAAATTTATACTATAATAACATAATCAGAAATATAAGTAGTTACCCTACATTAAATAACCAGAGTATTATATGGTCCATGGTATGAGAAGAGCCGTGAAGAAATTACAAACGAAAGCAAAGAATGAAAGAATAAATTAACACCGAAAGTCTTGCATTTCGTTTTGAGTCAGGCTAAATCAGTGGGGAATCTACAGCTCTTGGTACAATTGTATATTTTAAGAAACGCATTAGCATACCGGAACATTTTCAGCAACAATAGTCATGCAAAACTACGAAGCCCCATTTGAAATGAATTTTCCAACTGTAAAGGTCACAGCATTATTTCCCAAAGCCACAGGACGCATTTGAATAGATGAGACAGTTATCCTGCTTAATTCCAGCCTAATAAAGTGTTTTATTACAGTCACAAATGTAGTCTGACACTCACAGTTCAGACAGCAGCTCAAACATTACACTGATGCATTTACTAATTACAGAGGCCATTAAGTTGTGGCGGAACGCGACGTTTACAAACCCAAAGTTATGACTACTCTTGACGTTTAGCTGAAGGAACTTTGATCATAACTCTATGTGTTGCAGACATTTAATAAAGAACACACCATAATTCTGCAGTGGTCCATCTACTGTATCGAGTTAATGTTATACCTATATTCAGTAAAGTTGTTTATGCCCAACATTTAATTCTCAGATTATTGTGATCAAAGAGTTGTAGCAGTTCCTTCCGGCACAGTTTACAGGGGTGGGCAAAATTAAGAACATCTTCTGAACACATGGTACATACACACAACAATAATATGCACCAGCCGCCACTGTACGCAGCACTTAGAGCCAAATAATAAATCTACAAGTGCATCTCTATCTTTGATTTACTGCATGATCATACTTGTGTTATAGATGGATCACATGTTGTCAGTCATGTGCACATCAATCACTCCCATCGGAACAACGTGCAGGACCTTGTGGGACCGAGCCTTCGCTGCCACTGCCCCCATTCTCTGGAACTCACTCCCAGAACTAAGACTCAATTCAGAACTTCAAATCACTGCTCAAACCCGACTATTCCAAACTGCCTACACTTAAAGGAGCAATATGTAAAGATCTGGCCAAAAGTGGTACTGTAATCACCGCCAATATTCTGCAGTCTTCTCCCAATCTCCCTGACTCAGGTTGCCAGATACTCACCGAACCCAGCTGGGACCGTAATAGCTGAATAGACTTTCAAAAATCCTGGCTGAAAATACTGTTATTAGTTAGTTAGTTATGCTTTTTGAAATATTAGGGTCATTTAATGATTAATCTTACATATTGCTACTTTAATTGTTTATTTTAGCTTTTGTTCACTTGCCACTTTACCTGCTGCTATTATTATTATTGTTTATCTGGTTTTATTTTGGTTATATTCGGACTTGTGCTTTGAGAATTGGCGGGCAGCTCTCATTGCCGACCCAGAAATGGACTAATAAAGGGGTAGAAAATTAATGAATGAATGGTTAAATTATCTGGTGCTAAAATACAACCCTACCAACCATCTGTAAATGTGAAACCACATGAATGCTGCTGGCTACAGTGTATACTCTACACACGTGTACTTATCCTCAGTCCAAGTTTATTATGTCATTTTATTATT